TGCAAAAAATGAGGCAACAAGAAAACAACACTGTAGCAGATCCAAGGCGCTGCAGCAACAAAAGGGAAGAAAACAAGAGAGGTGGAATGCACAAAGCACACGGAAAGCGCATCACAGGGCACCACGTCTGTTGATTTCGTTGGCAAACAAGGTCAGGAAGTTGCCTTCTACGAAGAGGATAACAGGCCACTAACATGATACTGGCATCCAGTTTTCAAGGAGAACTCGACGCAACTACTTGTTAACAGATGCAACTCCAAACATCTGGGCAAATAAATTACTACAGACTGGCGTTTCTTGAAAAAATCTGAGGCAAATCAGCAGGGATACAAAGCACAATGAAAAGTACCCCCCCGCGCACCAAAAAAACACTCCTGCACTTTCCTAGTGTTGCATCGCCCTCTGTATTTTCCCCTCCTGGGCAGTGCCTCATTGGAGGACCACCCTCTGCCTTGATGCTCCCACGCAGCGCATCCAGCATCCAACAAACACCCGTCCCCGCAAAAGGACATTCTCGTCGTGTGTGTGTGTTCCAGCTCGCCGCTCCACCCCCACCAATCTCTACCGAGGCCGAGTAACAGCAGTGCCGTCGATCTCCTTCTGCCACAGCCCCTCCCCCCTGCCCCCCTGCCTCTTCGATCCCGTTGACGAGTAGCAAATATGGGAGATGAACCCTAGAGCTGAGGAAGGAGAGGATGAGAAGAGAAAAGAGGAACTGGAAGAAATTTCGAGAGAGAGATCGAAGAAGACAAACGGTCAAGGTTGCACTATGCCCCCACAGTCCCTGCCCCACTTGTCGGTGCTCACCCACACACACGTGGTGAAGCGATGCACGATCTAACGGCTGTGACGCGGCCACTCGTAGAGCACAAATCACGCGCGTGCTGGTATAAATTAATGGTATGTCTATTGATGCAAATACTACTGGTATGAAACTGAAGATTAAGGGAAGTCAAAACTATAGTTGCATCTCCGTGTAGCTCAGTTATTGAAAAGAAATGTGACAGGTTTCCCATATTTGGTAAGGGATTTAGGTGTAGCCTAAATGTGTAGATAGCGCCTGGATCGCGAAGAAAACTGACATCCTTAACATGATGCATCAATTGCCTATTTTGTTTGATTACATTAAAATAAGTGTTTCAAATAAAATCATACAAATCTCTCAAGAATTAAAGGATTGTTACCCCAACTTCAGGATCTGTAATGTTCAAATCATCACATAACGTCCTTGCAAATTCCTCAGGATCACTTTCAAGGTTGCCTATATCCTGGTACATTAAAGTTGATGCGAAACCGAGTCAAAATTAATAATGCATTCGAACAGCCTGATAAGGCAAACAGTCTACATAAATAATTATCGACAAACGTGCACGTACCCACAAGAACTGATCTCTAATTGTCGTATTGTTCACTCGGAGGTCAATCTGCACATACCATTCATGTGAATTCAAACGAAATGGCACCGAAACAGTCCACATGTCTGCAGTTACCAAAAGACGCTAACCTTGAGGGGCATAATCTTCTCCTTGACCTGCATCTCCTGCCCCTCGTAGGAACGGAACTCTGCCAATTGCCCCTTTTCGGCACACACACACACACAAATAATTGACACAACTAGTAGTAAGCCACAGAGCTGTCCAATTGCAGAATAGCAATACAAACAATGCTAAATGAACCACAAAGATGAAGCAAGCTGAGAAAGAACGGTGGTACCTGGATGGACTGGAGCATCTGTGGGACGAAGGTGGCCGGAAGCTTGAGCTCCTTGGCCGTCCTCTTGGCGAAGGTGATGACCTCCGAGTCGGGATCTGTACGGCGCAGGAAAGACCATCAGGAAACATCAGCAAAGACCGATGAACCTGAAGAAAAGACCGGAACATCAGGAAAGGCGGCACCGTACCGCGGGGGTTCCAGGTGAAGGCATCCCTGTAGCGCTGGCCGTCCACCTCGATGTCGACGCGTATCGGCACCAGGTTGTCCCTCGTCGGCCTGCCCAGCGCAGCAGCGCGGTTAGCTCCTCCCCCATCCCCCAACAGATCCAAGGTTCCTCGGAGAGAGAGAGAGAGAGAGAGAGAGAGAGAGAGAGAGAGAGTATGTACATGCGGAACTTCACAGTGGAGGATCGCGGGGCGCCGAGGCTCACCGTCTTCATCGCCGTCCGGGCAGTCCGTTCGTCGCCGCCGTGCGGTTGGGGATTTCGAGGGCGGATGTCCTCTTTTTGCCTGCTCCGCCGCGGACGGGGCTAATACGG